TAGGTCCTCCTCATTTGGTCAGAACTGTTTCTCTGTTAAAGCAGCAGTGGCCTGGAACTCACTACCTCTGTTTGTGAGGGCCTGGAACTCACTACCTCTGTCTGTGAGGGCCTGGAACTCACTACCTCTGTCTGTGAGGGCCTGGAACTCGCTACCTCTGTTTGTGAGGGCCTGGAACTCACTACCTCTGTCTGTGAGGGCCTGGAACTCACTACCTCTGTCTGTGAGGGCCTGGAACTCACTACCTCTGTCTGTGAGGGCCTGGAACTCTCTACCTCTGTTTGTGAGGGTCTGGAACTCCCTACCTCTGTCTGTGAGAGCCTGGAACTCACTACCTCTGTCTGTGAGGGCCTGGAACTCTCTACCTCTGTCTGTGAGGGCCTGGAACTCACTACCTCTGTCTGTGAGGGCCTGGAACTCACTACCTCTGTCTGTGAGGGCCTGGAACTCTCTACCTCTGTCTGTGAGGGCCTGGAACTCACTACCTCTGTCTGTGAGGGCCTGGAACTCTCTACCTCTGTCTGTGAGGGCCTGGAACTCACTACCTCTGTCTGTGAGGGCCTGGAACTCTCTACCTCTGTCTGTGAGGGCCTGGAACTCTCTACCTCTGTCTGTGAGGGCCTGGAACTCTCTACCTCTGTCTGTGAGGGCCTGGAACTCTCTACCTCTGTCTGTGAGGGCCTGGAACTCACTACCTCTGTCTGTGAGGGCCTGGAACTCTCTACCTCTGTCTGTGAGGGCCTGGAACTCACTACCTCTGTCTGTGAGGGCCTGGAACTCTCTACCTCTGTCTGTGAGGGCCTGGAACTCTCTACCTCTGTCTGTGAGGGCCTGGAACTCGCTACCTCTGTCTGTGAGGGCCTGGAACTCACTACCTCTGTCTGTGAGGGCCTGGAACTCGCTACCTCTGTCATTTATTGTGCAATGTCCCTGTGAAATAAACAAATAAATAAAAAAATAAAATAAAATAAAAAAAAACAAAATACATATATTGTTGTTGTTTGAGCTCCCACATCTTGGAAAATCCCCCAAACATGGCGTTGCTCTCTTCATGGAGTGAACATCAAAGGGTTAAACAAACATCTATTAGTGCAAAAAGTAGTTTATATTCATACAATTATTCTTCTGAGAGCTACTTTGAAGAGGGTAATGATTTCCTCTGCATTGGTTTCAGAAGTCATGAATGAGTGAGTATACTGACACCAAGTGGTCAGGACTGGAATAGATTTAATTCTATGATCTATTTTTATGTCAGTGTAGTGTATTCACATGTAAAGACATTTTTTATACTATCTAAATTATGGCTCTAACATTTGTAGTCATTATTTAAAAACTAATTATGTTAAAATTAAAGTCTTGATATTACTTATTTAGAGCAAAAGAGAACGGGACAAAGTCATGATGGAAATAGACGGGACGGGGGACTGGTAATATGAGGGAGACCATTTTGTTTTTTTACAAAGATTTCACACATTTCTAACACCTGCAAAACTTTTGAACCAGTAGATACTATGTGTAAGTTGTTTTTCCCTCTGGACCAATATTGTGTCTGAGTGAGTGCCATATGAACCACCTGGACTCTGAGGAGCACAGGGACTGGCCTCCTGCTGGGACTCTGAGGAGCACAGGGACTGGCCTCCTGCTGGGACTCTGAGGAGCACAGGGACTGGCGTCCTGCTGGGACTCTGAGGAGCACAGGGACTGGCCTCCTGCTGGGACTCTGAGGAGCACAGGGACTGGCCTCCTGCTGGTCCCAGAGTCAGGACTAAACATGGGGAGGCAGCTTTTCAGATTCACGCAGCTAAACTCAGCTCTTTCTGAAAATGTGAGACAGGCTTCTTCTCTGACAATGTTCAAATCTAGGTTAAAAACACAGTGCCATTTTATATAATTTTTTACGCACTTTGCCTTGTGTATGAACTGTGCTATTTAAATAAACTTGCTGTGTGTGTGTGTGTGTCACCACGTCCACCTCCTCGGCCTACAAACCGCTCCACTTCTGCCTCCACCAGGAAATCTCTTCAAACAGATGCTGGAGTAAGGTTTATTGAAATATTAATGACATTTGACAAAAACAAGAAGAAGGCCGTTGTCCGTGACAGTGTCTGCTACGTTAAAAATCAAACATACAATAAAAATACTGAGTTTATACAGCCATATACAGACATAGACTTATACGCACAGGAGAACATATGTATCGACAGGGAGGAGTCTGCAGGATGGACAGAGCAGGTTTTGTAGATCCACAAAACGCTTCAGTCCGTGTTTCACAATTCGCAAAAAAAAAATAACGTGTGAGCGGAAAGTTTAAAGTGGACTATAGTGAGAATGATACAGAATCGTTCAGAATCAGAAACAGATCCTGGTTCATAAAGACAGGACCATGAGATGAATCTAAATTATAAAAATATAACACTAAGTTTCACAGAGCAGTTTGATTAAAGCTGGGGTACCTAACTTTCAAACCACTGAATATTGAACCATGAAGTTAAATCCATACATTTTTTCCTCAGAGCAAAAGTGTTCACGTGTGTGTTCAAAGTGTGTTTTTGACCTCTTTCACGTTTCTATCTAAAAAAAAAATCTGATCTAAAGATGCGACAAAAGAAATCTCTCTGTCCAAAGAGTCAAATAGTGACTCACAGGGCTTGCTCACATTAGTCCAGGGCTCAGGTCTCTCCATGGCCTCGCACCAAACTACATCTGTGACATGTTAGAGTCATAGGAACCAACGGGGACTGGCCTCCTGCTGGGACTCTGAGGAGCACAGGGACTGGCCTCCTGCTGGGACTCTGAGGAGCACAGGGACGGCCCTCCTGCTGGGACTCTGAGGAGCACAGGGACTGGCCTCCTGCTGGGACTCTGAGGAGCACAGGGACTGAGACCTCCTGCTGGGACTCTGAGGAGCACAGGGACTGAGACCTCCTGCTGGGACTCTGAGGAGCACAGGGACTGAGACCTCCTGCTGGGACTCTGAGGAGCACAGGGACTGAGACCTCCTGCTGGGACTTTGAGGAGCACAGGGACTGGCTTCCTGCCTCTTTTAGTCAGATCTAAACTTGGGGAAGCAGCATTTCAGATTTTTGTAGCTGGACATGCAGTGATTATTTATGACTTGAATGCCTTGTGTGATTTTTATCTCGGTTTGTGTATAAACTGTGCTATACAAATAACCTTGCCTTTGAAAAAAAATATATTTAAGACAGCATGGTGTGGTCTGACTTGTTCACAACATTTTACTTTAGCTACACTCTTTTCTGTAGGGCCTTGGATAAACACAGAGGTTGAGAAGTTCGTACTCCAGCTTTAAACTTGCGATAATTACCCTCATATTGTCAACTGTAAAACACCTGACGTTCCGGTAGTTAAACATGAAACATAAATAGGCCAATAAATAAATATTATCTGCTGATTGTACCAATTTTCCATCCATTTCCTTTTCTTCTACGTTGCCCCTTCTGTCCCAAACTCACTCACAACCTTTGAATCTCAGGACCGTCATCGGAGCAGGCTACACACAGTACAAGACGAGATGCTAAAATGCTAACACCGTCGAGGAAGGAGCCATAAGTGCAGAGGTGCTGAAGTCCATTTTCCGTGGCAGAACTTTAAAACACAAATATATTTCACATTTAGGACCTCATTTTGTGGCTGTAAACACGGTATGGCTCGTGGTTTCTCGGGACATCATCGTTATCAAATGGCGTTATTTACATGGACAGGGTTAGCGACACTATGGCTACTTTGTTTTTCTGCGTGAACTGGCAGTGAAACTATGGACGTAAGAGAGCGTCAAAAGCAAAGTGAATCCTTGTCGTCCCATACAGCAAAGTAAAACGGGTTCAAAATGTTTTTATTCCCGGAAGTTTAGGTCAAAGTGTGGAGCTGGGGGAGTGGGCGGGGCTTATGGCTTCAGGAAGTAAAATAACCAATGACGACAAAGCCTATATATTACCGTTACTTGTTACCGTTACTAATTTGTCAATTTCTCAAGTGAATTTATGTCCTTTACAAAACACATGGTTGCGTTTGAAACCGGTAATTTTTCTAATTTGGATAAACATGATACAAATTCGACCCCTCCCCCTGGTGGTAGCATAGGGACAGGACAGCCTTCAAACTTCACCATATTTATCTACTTATTATGAGAAGTGATTAGTCTCATTATATTTTGATATAAAAAAATAATGATTGTTTACACTTTTGTTCAGCCAACACTAATTAACAGCTAATTTGAGTATAACGTATGATTAATTAGCTCTTAATTGGTATTTATTAAGAACTTATTATTCCTTATTCTACATGGCCTTATTCAACATCTAACTGACAGTTTCCCATGTGGGTTAGGCTTCACTAATTAGCACTTCATTAGCTGTTTATTAGCGAGGGATAATCTAAAGTGGTACATATGACGCTTTTTGACTTTTCTTTTTCTAGTTTTCTCTATGATTACAGTGTTTTTTGGGCTTCATTCACATGCCCGGAGTAGTTCTTTTCAACGATTCCCTCAAGCTTTAGTTTGAGAGCGATCTTTAACTCTTTAATTCTCCGGAGGCAACGAAACGGCCTGATTCACTTTGTCACATAGCATCACTTTCTTACACGGCTCGAGCTCAAGAAGCCCTGCCTCCAGGAGTTTTGAGTGTTGGTCTGTCACTCAAATTATAATCACACATGTGCATAGGACGGACCGTGATAAAAATTAAGAAAGGCCAAATATAGGACCTTTAAATTGGGAATTTTACTTCTGGAAACCTGAGCTCTGCCCGTTCACTTCACAGCTCCACAGAACCAAGCCCTGCTCTTACAGCTGTTCAAAAAAAATTAAAATTAAAAATACTATCCAATGTCCTTTCAAGAAACACTTTTGCAAATACATTCAGAAAGACGAGCATCCGCCCCAAACCTCCCAAAGCCTCCAGGACACCGTCGTCTGGTCCCAGTTTTCCATTTCAGTGAAAGAGGAAGAGTAAAAGCAGAGCGAGGCCCAGGGAGCGGCCTCAGGAGCTGATGATCTGACCCGACCAGGTCTCATGCTTGGTCCCTGGATTCAAGTGCGTGATGACCACCTCCACAGCCTGGATCTTCTGGTTCTTGGGTGGGACGGGGCAGACTTTGTACGTGACCTCATCCCCTTCCATCGGCACGTACTCCCCCTCAATGCTGCGGAAGAAATACAAAAAGACATGAGCTTCTTGTGTTCGATCCACCGCAAAGAGACAGGAACAAAGGACTCTGGGAAATGACCATTTTTATCTGTTTTTAAATGAAAGAAATTGGTTTTATACAGCCCCTTTCAAGACACTCAAGACACTTCACATGCCAATTATTCATTCACTTCATACACAGCTGTGATAAACTATGCCATCAGCCCCTCTGACCACCACCAACCATACACACACACACACCAGACTCATTTTAATGTGGGTGAAGTGTCTTGCCTAAGGACACAACCACAGTTTGGCACTTTCCACCCCACTGTGGCACCTGGTGTTCCCAGAGGTCTCCCATCACAGCACTAACCTGGCCTTGTTCTGCTTAGCTTCAGAGGTCAGCAGGATCTGGCCCGTCACCTGCAGGTTTTGCCACATAAGGCTTCCCTTCTTTCAGTCAAAACTTACTCGCTTAATGTTTTACACATACATTTTATGATTTTTAAATGGATTCTTCTTCAGTGTGTAGACAATACTTGTGTCTGTGAAAAGTGCAGTGCACTTGAATATTTCGTATAAATGGTGCAATATATATAATCTATGTCTCCTCCTCTTCCTCATGTGTGGGACTCACTCAGAGATGTGCACAAAGATGTCCTCTCCGCCGTGACAGGGCCGTATGAAGCCGTGGCCCTGAGACCGGGAGAAGTTTTTACACACCCCTTTGTAGACCGGACTGGACCTGGCTCGTACCGTCCTGCAAACACAACACACACACACACACATTTCCATCAACAACACAACCATGTCTTTAAAGGTCCCATGCTACGCTCTTTGACTTTTATCTGCTTTAAACATCCCTCCAGTGCTATTTGACATGTGCCCAAATTAATATTTTCATTTATTCCCTCAAACTTTAGTTTAGTAGCAAATCGATGACGTGGGGTCAGGGTGGAGGTGGAGAAATCAAAGCTGGGGGAGGTGGGGTCACATGGAAAGGAGCAGAGATCAGCTGCAAGAAGTGGTTATAATTTAAGTTTTGAGTGTTGTGGTTTATCACACACATTATTCTCACACATGTGCAGAGGACGGACTGTGAACATGAAGAAAGACAGAGTTCTTACGCAGAGTATGTGCGAGTGCGCTTGGTGGGCAGAGGGCTGGGCAGCTCTCCGGGCTGGGGGGGCTTCCTCTCCCTCTCCCACACACGACTGCCCTCTCTGAGGAAGGGGAAAGACAGGGGCCCTCTGGTCCGGGGCGAGGCCAGCGGCTCAGCTTTGGAGGCATCTGGCTCTGACATGGTCTCGGGTCAGACGGAGCTGGACTGGACTACAGCGTCTGCATGGCTGCTGCAGGAGACACACAAACAGTGTGAGTGATTCATGATGTTGTTACACCTCGGTACAGATCTGTGACATTACTCTGTCTGTGCTCGCTCTAAAGAACTACAGCACATTTGGTCAAACGTATAATATTGAACTAACGGCCTGACTTTACAAAGAGGAATAAAAACATGACCAAACTCCAGTCCAAACAAAAATGCTTCCAACCATTATCCCAGAAAACAACAACAACACCTCGAGACAAAGCAACAGCTGCACAAGACCGTAGCAGTTACCATAGCAACTGGTACTTGGTACCATTAGCATTAGCATATAGCCTTTCAAACTGTTTTCTGCTGTATATAGATAATAGATGGATACTGTATTGATCCCCGTAGGAGAAATTCAGGTGTCCAGCAGCAGAATACTCTTTTTTGTTGTTGTAAAGTCCGACGGCCGAAGGAACAAATGATCTCTTGAAACGTTCCGTTCGGCAGTGCAGTGACAAGAGCCTGTTGCTACGGTTACTCCTCTGAGCGGCCAAAGTGTTATGGTCAGCACTAGATCATATACGGAATCGGCACGGAAGTGGAAGTAAAAATAACCAACTTTTTCGTGCCTAAACTTAACCAGCCGTTCCCATAAAGATTGTTACTTTCCGGTTTCGTCCCGAACCCTTTGTGGAGTTACAAAGGGTGCCCTGCATTAGAGCTCTCATCCTTCTCTCCAGCACAGCTCCCACAGAGTCCACACTTCTCCCCATCACAGAGACACATTTCCTGATCAGTCGAGCCGGTTACCGTCTCTGGAGGTCAGACTGCCGCCGACACGTCACCCCAAAGAACACGGCACCAACTACCACAGTGGAA